CTATGGGCCACAGCATCCACTTACAATCAGGTGGACTGTGTGCTCGTTTTTCAATCGTGTTCTATAAAAAAATGAAACCATAATAATATTGACAACCTATCACATCTTATTGACAGTCTAAGTTGTATTTGAACAATGTATTCTTTTCACGATGACGTAACTCAGTAGCGCCCGAGTCACGGGTGCAATCCGGTATACACCCCGTTGCAATTTTAGTGAAAATGGGTGAAAAGTAGTTAAGCATCCGTAGTAAGGCATTATCCGCAAATATTTTACGGTTCACTGCATTAATTTGTGAAGTCTAGAGTGTCGATCCTCATTTGTCGTTCACAGTTCGTTCTCGGTCCGATCTCGGTCTGATTTATTATATTTTCGGAAAGGGATTCGAGCGAAACTTGACTGTTACGGACATTATGAATGCATACACATGTTTTTTACTTGATAATATTTTATCTGATCGAGAACGAACTGTGAACGGCGTTATAATGAGGATCGGCCCTAAGAAAGGATGGAATTTAATGGTAAACCTTTGAACCCTCAATAATCATGGCTAGTGATTTTAAAGGGTTTCCCGTTAACCTACATTATGATCAGCTCTAGCTTAAAATTCGTTTCAGATCCTTGTTAATACAATCAACCCTTTAGGAAGATCCTCATTGGTGGTTAGTAAATATATGGATGAGTCGGCTCGACCGGGAAAGTACTACGCTCACACAGAATATCACCGTAAAATAGCAGCTTAATGTTGCTGTTTCGTGTGGTGAGTGTATAAAACCGGAGACCCTTTTTACTGGAAACGAGGCATTCCATCTTAGTCCTCAGTGGTGGCAACGCATCTGCAATCTGATCTTTAATAGAGGGTAATTGTGGATGTCTATGGGCCAAAGCATCCACTTACCATCAGGCGGACTGTGTGCTCGTTTGTACTCTCATTCTATAAAAATGTATTTGGAGATCATCTGCATACAAGAAAAGTAAAGTAAAGTAAAGTTACAGCCTATATACGTCCCACTGCTGGGCTCAGGCCTCCCCTCATTTCTGAGAGGGTTTAGGGCAAGGAAGTGTCCGCCGCGCTGCCCAAATGCGTGTTGACGAACTTCACATGTCTTCGAAATATTTTTTTTCTTATTCCTCAGTCATGCAGGTTTCCTCACGATGTTTTCCTTCACCTCCGAGCACGTGGTAAATCAGCACTTAAAATTGTAATTAACAATTTCATTGGTGCCGGCGGGGGATCGAACCCGGGTTACTCGCGTTCTGTTATATTTACAGCGAGCGTTAACCACTGAGCTACCACGGCTCATACAAGATGTAGTGATAAAATATATTTGGAATGTAATGGTGTTTATAAAGATTGCGAATAATAGAGGAGATAAGATGCCGTCTTGCGAAAAGCAAACTACTGTTATTTAGAGAAGTGGAAATTGTTGTTAAAAGAACCTATCGCACCTCTAAATTAATATGATTATGATATTGAATTAGCGGTATCGTTTTAGATAACGTCAGATAACGTAACTCAATCAAAAACAACGTAGTTATGTTATAGGGAACACAAACAAAACAACTCAATTTAAATTACATTATAATGTTTGTGTTCCCCATAAGTTATTAACATGTTTATCTTTAATTATTACCTGCATCCAGACTTTCTGCATTTCTTACCAGGTTGTCACTCCTTCTCGTGGGTTCACGAGAACTTTTCATTCCCATCGGTAGTCGTTTGTGCGAGCTATATAGCCAGCACATGTCCACGTCACCATACTAACCCGGTGGGCTATGTCAGTTACTATAGTTTTACTGTGTCCTAATTCTGCTACCCCTAAGCTAACACGGCTGTATTAAACGCTTTAGGTGGTAGCTAATATCTGACAATTAAAGAAGCCTAGCGATAAGAGTATCTGACTACGACGCCGTTGCGCCCTCCTTTCTGCCAAGGAGGGTCGCGTTCGTATACGGCTTAGAGATCTCTAGTCAGATCGTTAAGCCAATTCCTAAAAGGTTGGGTTTAGTGGGTAAAAGTCACCACATAACCACGCAGCCGGCTGCGTGGTATGCTATGAGCATTCCCAACCTCCCTCCCCCGCTTTCCGGAGGGTTGCCCATATTTGCTTCGGGCGCAAAAAAAAAGCTACGACGCCGCGGGTTTTAGGTTTGAGTATTCTATGTAAGACTAGTGAAGTAAACTTGCTTAAAAAGTACTTCGGTACACAAAGTACTTTATAAAACTGACGTAACTACTAACTACTATCAATAACAATATTCCCTTTAAATTAATTCAATGCGCATGTAAAATCATTCTAATCAAGAAAGGATAGTTTAAATTAGATGATTATATAAAAGATAAAATTAGGAATTTTTTGACTCAAGTATGTAAATACACTGCTCGTATTTATAAGGTTAAGTGGCAATTGCTGAAACTTCGTAGTATAGATTTTTTTAAGCGATAAACAGTTCTATTTACTTTCAGAATATGACTTGTCCCAACTGGAGTGAACATTTGTGAACAAATACAAATCAGCTAGCCCTAGCCTACTTTTGGTCCCATCGTATCGTATCTGGGTAAATCGGGACGAATAAAACGAGTGCCTCTTTGTAGTCGCGTACAGTAATAGCACTATGATTTCTACAATATAGTTGATTACTTCCGAGTACTCGGAAGGTTTCCTGTTGTACGATCAATAATGATAAGTAGTAATACTCGTATGATTTTTTCATGAAAACCTTTGTAAATGGCTTTAAAGCTGAGTGTACCTGATCGTAAGTGGACGGCCCAGACTAAATGTTTATTTTATCTATATCATCCATAGCCGATTAAGGACTTAAATGGAATACCTTGAATAGAGTAAGGTGATTTGTATGTTGTTTTTGTGCGTGGTAATCTGATGAAGCATGTCCTGGATTCGATAGACTTTCGTGACTCAGAGCTTTAAAAGTAAAGCTACAGATTTCGTATATCCCACTGCTGCTCACAGACCTCTTTTAATTTTTAGAGAGAGTAAGGGCAAGGAAGTGTATCCCGCGCTGCGCCGTTCCATGTTGTCGGACTTTACATGTCTTCGCAAGTTGTTATTTAATTTTTCACACGTGCAGATTTTCTAATCAGCACTTCAAATAGCTATTACAATTTTATAGGTGCTGGCGAGAAACGAACTCGGATTGTTAGCGTTTTATGGCGAACGTTTAACCCCTAAACTACTACGACTCTACATGCTAAATTTATTTTTCTTTTCACAAGTGGTCTTGTGAACTGTAACGATAATTATGATAATAAGTATAATACATTATTAAAGACGAAAGGCTGTTCCACAATACAGTTGTTTATGTGAGCTATTGTACAACTAACTGAATTATGTGTTTTATCTTTTAAATATTAAATTCGGAGAATTTGACTTATTCTCGTTGTAATAATCGTTACGCATAATTACTTGAGCATGTGTTGACATCATGTGGATTTGTATTAACGGTCACAATACCGATTCATTTCGGTTGTTCACTTCTAATCTTGATTGGTTCAAGATAAGTTACGCGAAGTGCCTCTATCAACAAGATAACTTTTCGTTACGTCATTTTTTTTAGTTTACACGCTTTGTTTAATTTAAGCAATACCAACAATTGTTACAGTTCATGCACTGGTTGAAATAGTCTAGGCTTGTTTTCACGATAAAGGGTAAACACGATCGTAAAGTTTTCGATTTATTGCTTTGTCTTATCGATATTTCCCTCTTAAAGACCCGCGATGCAATTAATATCAGCAAAATGTAATTGGGTGTGGTGCGAAATCTGGACGGTCTCTTAATAGAATTTATAAATTTGCTATCGTAAGGTGTGGCCTGTTTTCTATTTACGAGAGATCATTAGCAGGATCAAGTCGGTGTGGCGGTAAAACGATCGCGCTTCGCCCGCACTCATCACTCAGGTAGCGCCGGGATAAAAACACCACTCGAAATGGAACGGACGCAGCCGGGCTCACCTAGATAACGCACCGAACGACTGACTAAAAGAACTTCCAGCAATTTTATATCAACGTCGATCGCGATCATTATCGACTCTACACCGCCAGTAATGAATCAACCTTCGGCTCGAACGATTCATTATAAAACTTTAATCGCCCATTCATATCACACATTCGCTGATAATAATATAAATAGGCTCTCACGTCCAATGAATGAACTTATAACATGTAAATTCGTCGGTTACAAATCGCGACACAGCACTCTGCGCGTAGGCGTCGGAGCTTGAATGAAAATAAACATTTCAGCAGTGAGCTTACCTCTCCAGTTTTATGGTATTATTATCCAGATTAGCGATATGGGCACAGCACAGAAATAAAAATATGTGAGTGGGTCACACTGAACTTTTTGGCATAACACTGTTTTGGACACGATTGAAACGCGGCGCCGTCGGAAGCGATGCACACTGCCGGCCGGCTCAAGCGACACTGACTGAAGTTGATCACAATCGTAGGTGCGCTCGCGTTGCACGCACACCGCAACGTTCATTCAAATAACTACGGTGGTGGGGGGACTTATGAATGGACGTAGTGAAGATATGTCGTATTAGATACCACTGATAAGGAAACCCGAGCGTTTAATATATGATATTGAAATTGAAAGATTGCTTCAAGCACAAAACGCTTACGCCGATCTTATTATGGAACCGTAACAGACTAAATGTCACCGAACAAGCGTAATTCAATCAGATTTCGAAAGATTCTTTTTTAAATCTATGTCATTTTGACGTATATTTTATGAAAACATAGTAAACATTTGTAAAGAAATATTTCATTGTGTGCTATAAACAGTACGATCAGAAGTTTATATTTCAATACAATATCCAATTTACTTGAAAACAATTGGCCATTTTATAGGGTTTCTTATAAAATAAAAATAAAACAAACAACCATATCTTTTAAGTTTTATTATAACTTAATCTTATTTACATATAGGTACAGTAACAATATATTATGCAAAGATAAATAAACATTTAATGTCAATGATAAATTACGACAGTCCTTTGAGGAAGCTGGATAATTTATGACTCTTGTAGTCAGAACGTAACTGTATAAAATTGTGTAGAATTGACTGATCCAGTTCTGCCTGCGAAACAAAAGAAGGATTATTAGTAAAAATTAAAATATACGAAGGCGTTCCAAAAATTGACCCCTGAAAATACTGACATAAGGTTGTAGTCATTTATTACATCAGCTAGATAAGAAACAAGCGTTAAAATTGAGACGCAACTGATTTTCTTATAATAGAATGTCTGATGCGCAGATAGATATCAAACTTTCTCACTAATTTGTATATGGCGAATTAATGACAGTTTATTTCATCGAATTATTGGCGATAACTGTACTAACAACAAAGTTATCAATAAGAGATAATTAAATAAATAACAGAATCGGGTGTTACTTTGCGGAAACTCATTACTAAAACTTTTACGATAATTAAATATACAGTGCCAAGATGGAACAATCTTCCTCTCATCACTCTAAGAGCGATGCTTTCCTAACTCACTCACTAATACATCCAAAAACTCGCAACACTGCACTGCTATTTTTAATATGCATACTATAGGGACATCCCATGAAAGTTTTTCAACATGGTGGAACCATGCTGTAGCTATCTTATGGTTGCAGCACGAAAGGGTCGGCTCGACCGGAAAAGGACCACGCTCTCACAAATACCAGCTTAATGCAAGTCAGTGCTCAGGTTTGACAACGCACCTTCATTTTGATTTTTTTGAGTCTCTTCATTTTGTGTCTATGTGCCACAGCATCCACTTACCATCAGGTGGGCTGTGCGCTCACTTGTGATCCTGATTGTAATAAAAAAAATATTTTACATAGTAGTATATGGACAAATATCCAGATTCAGAACAATTTACTTATTATCTACACGCAACAGATATATGGCTACAGCAAAGGTCTGCTTGACTGAGGAATAAACGCGCTGTCACAGAATGATACCAGAGTAAAGTAGCAGCATTGTTCTGCTGGGTTTTGAATGATGAGTCACCACAACTGGAGAAACTTTTATATCAGTAACGATGGTATCCATCTTTTTTTTAATTGAGGATATATGTAGGTGGTCAATGTTAGAGCATCCACATTGCAGGTAGACTGTGTGCTTCTTTGTCACCCTTACTTCTTTTAAGCTGAAATGTTTTCTGTTTTAAACAGTAACTTCTTTTTTGAAATCCGTATGTTATAATCTAGAGTCGGTCGGTAAGTCAAAAAATTGCATTATGTTTTCTTTGTACCAAAATTATTAAGCAGACTAAAGCACATAAGTCAGTCACTTAGTAGGGCCTGGATCTCAAGTGGCGTCCTTTTTCACCTCTCGATTCCCATGACTCCTGCGGCGTTATAAAAACATAAGTTGAATTATGTTGACGCTCTCGGACTTCATGGATACAGAAAGTGACTTATGTTATTAGGAACTTTAAGTGCGTCGCTTTATGTCGATGTTTAACTATAGGGGAGGGGGGGGGGGGGGGTAGGTACCCAAAACATTATTTATTGCTAAGAAAAAAAAAGATTTGGGTCATTAGCCGAGTTAGTTTTGCTCTGGTTGCTAATAGAACAGTGGTGGTGTGTTTTAGTTAAGAATATTCCCAACTGCTATGGATTGTCAGCGAGGCAAGAAATTAGTTGAGATGGTGATGAGGAGAAACTCAAATGTCGAATGTCAGTTTGCCTTGTTTGATTTAAATGAGAAATTAAACATAACATAACATAACATAAACACTCACGCCTGTCACCCAGAGGGGTAGGCAAAGACTACAGACTTCCATTTAGCACGATCCTGACACACTTCTCTTGCCTCCTTCACATCCATACACCTACGCATACATGCTCGTCGGTTAAGGGTACTCCTAATTTGGCCCGTTTTCAATAAATCGCCAATTTGGTCGATAAATTTTCGCCTAGGACGTCCCTTTCCGACTCTGCCATTCACTTCTGCAACATAAATTTTCTTTGTCACTCTTTCCTCATTCATTCTTTCCACATGACCAAACCACCGAAGCATTCCTGCAGGAAATAGAATAAATGGGGACCTACACTCTATTGTGAAGAGTCAAAATGTGTCGAAAAAGGCACGTATGGCAATTCACAATGCTGTGTTGGTCCCTACTTTAACGTATGGTAGTGAAAGTTAGGTGTGGCAGAAGAAGCACGAGAGTAGAATGAACGCAGTAGAAATGCGGTCGTTAACCTTTTGAGCGCCACGCCAAAAACTCACTACCGTGTCCTGTACGCCAAAGCGAAAAGTAAACAAAAATACCTACGAAAAAAACAGTGCTGCCAAGAGTTGATATATCGATAACACAAAATAACTTGTTTTTGTTGGTTTTTTATACAATAAATGAGTCTTTATAATCGGGTATGTTTTATTTAATCTTGTGCTGTCTTCCACTCTTTTTATATATGTACTTTGTACATAAATAAAAAACAAACAATAACAATAAAATAGTAGTAAACCACAACACTACTCTCCGTCGTGATGACGTCACTGTCACGACTGGACGACAACGGCGTAGCTGACCTTTCTTTTTGAAACTTTCTTAGAGATGTAGCCGTGTTGCACGTTGTGTATCGATTTCAAAATCGATCTAACCAAAATATACAGACATCTATTCAAAATATTTTATGGCAAGGCGTAGGCCAAGTGAATCACAGAAGAAAAGTCTTACGCTCTTATGATAAAGGGGGTTTCATATGATACTGATGTTGCTAAATGATTTTGAGATTGAGAAAGAAAATCGCACAACACAAAATGAAAATTGCTCTTCATACCTTAAGTAAAGAAAACACATTTATTATTTGTAATTTTATATTATTAAAATAGAAAAGGTACGTAATTATTCACTAATCAACAACTGTATATAGGTAATTATTCGCACTAGAAAAATCAGTCTTATAATATTAAAATCTTGGTCATGGAATAAAAAAATCAGTACTTATTACAGAAATCAACAAAGGGTACATAATTATTCAACAATTGTAAATAATTATTTGCACTAGGTCTAGTCATAAAATATTAAAATCTTGATCTTTAACTCAATCAGTACTTAATATAGAAAACAACAATTAAAAATAATTAATAAATTATAGGTAATATTAGTCTTAAAATAATAAAAATCTTATGGAGTAATAAAACATAAATGTTTAGCTGGCCAAAGCAAATTTTCTAACGTGGTAGAGCCATGCTGCAGTTATATTACGGGAGTTAGTAGTTGTAGCACGAATGGGTCGGCTCAACCGGGGAAGAACCACGCTCTCACGGAATATCGGCATCAAATAGTAGCTTAATGCTGCTGTGTTTCGTATGGTAAGTGTAGAGAACCGGAGACCCTCTTTACTGGAAACGAGGCATTCCATCTAAGTCCTCACGGGTGAGAGCGCATCTGCATTTTGATTCGTAATCGAGGATAGATGTAAATGTCTATGGGCCACAGCAACCACTTGCCATCAGGTGGACTGTGTGCTCGTTTATTACCCTATGCTATAAAAAAGAAATTAACCGTAAAAAGACTATAAAGTGTATTCCTACCTCATTGAGGTAGAGTTAATCGAAAACGAAAAACTTTGGTTTCACGATAATTTTAAATTTCCGAAAATTCATCATCGTCGACGCTTTCCAAAATCCGAATGAGTTCTGAGGAATCGTTCATGTTGCACTGCACTAATTTTCCCGCTAATCGCTTATGACGTCATCAGTGTGTCGTCTATAGTAGTATTTTTAATTAGACGAAGTCAACTGACGTTTACTGTGTTGTCAGTTTTTGATGAAATAAAAATAGTGTTGTGACAAAGTGAATGATTGAAGAACTCCTGAATTAATGAAATTGCCTCGATTGTCTAGTGAATAGTTAGTGTGCTGAACTGCCGATATCGGGTACGGGGTTCGAATTTTAGTCGTGCTTTTTACATACCAACGAGTTTTCGACGACTATGTTCCTATAATATCTACCTATACTGAATACCGAGTGTTTTAAACATTAAGGAAAATATTGCGAGGAAACTTGTAAGACTGTCCTATTTTCAATACATCATGTAGTTGAAACTATAGATGTATAAAATATAACAATTATAGGTAGGTAATCAGAATAAAAAAAATCGCTTATTACATAATTTGTTTTTATTCATTATCAGATAAAAAATCATCACTATCGCTTTCGGTGACATTAATTAAAAATCTGTCAGTAACATTGTCAATCATGTGGTCGAGACCATACATTTTGTCTTCTTTTTTTAATTATATGAGACACGCAGCTATTCCATTTTTCAGGTGTGATATGTTGAAGTCCTTCTTCAAAAAGTTTTTTTACTTCTGTCATTTTGAAGGTTTTGTTATTTCTTGCAACATATCCTTTAGCCTGCGCCCATACCAACTCAATGGGATTGAGCTCACAGTGGTATGGGGGCAGACGTAAAACAATTATCCCATGCTGCGCTGCCATCTCGTCCACAACATACTTATCGCAATGTTCTTGCTTGTGCTGCCGTACAATGTCTATAAGAGTAGCTTTAACCATTGTTGCTTCGAATGAAATATTTTTGCTCGTTAGCCACTCTAGTATTCTAGGTTTAGTCCAAGACATTTTAGGCAGCGATTCTAGTTTCCTGGAGTGGTAGGGGGCATTATCCATCACTACTACGGAATTTGGTTTTAGTTTTGGCAAGACACCCCAAAACCACTTCTCAAAGGAATCGGCATTCATCTCTTGATGATAATCTTCTTTTTTTTTTTGGCTTCAAATATTAATAAGCTGTCTTCTACGAATCCTTCTTCCCCGCCTATATGGCCGATAATTAATCGTTTGCCCTTTCCTGAAGGCTGTTTTAAGCCAGTGGTCAAGCCATCTAGGAAGGCCTGGCGGGACGATAACACTGTCTGGTCAATCCATGCCTTCTTCGGTGCATGACCTTCAAGATAGTGAAAAATATCAATTAATTATTTGAAAGTACAATTTAATGTAAAGAAAACAGAAAATTGTAATTACCTTCGTTGATCCAGGTTTCATCTTGGTAATAAATATACCTTCCTTCCCTTCGATACTCTTTAATTTTTCGAAGGTATCGCTGGCGCCA